AAAAAAAAAAAGGGACAAACAAAAAGATAGAAAATCCATTTCCTTCTCGTATGATGATTTTTTTTAAAAATTCTGTTACATTTTTTGACATGTATCTGTCAAGACATAGTTAATCACATTTACCAAAAATCGTTTGCTGAATTTCAATAAACACACATAACATTTTGCACACAGTTAAAAATAATACAAAAGATCGAAATATTGACTCAACAAGTGGCAAGTATGCCTGCCATTCACAGTTGAAAAATGAAAGCGAAAGAAGTACCTTTCTTTCCGAAACTGTAGACTTGATGGCGACCAACGAGCCATTGTACCCGAGACAAACGATCAAATCCCCCTGTCTATTCGCCATCGCTTTGATCGTGCCCAAATCGGACCTGTGGTGTGTCATGATGTGCGCCACCACTCTTCGTATAGTTTTATCTCTAATTAAGACGAATCCATCAAGAGCAGTGGTACTGACCCACGATCGATCGACGAACAAATTAGCTAGCTTAACCTGATGACCCGTCACTAAACCATCTTCCAGAACCACGTGCCTGAAGTCCACTATCTTCTGCAGCCGAAGTTGACGCGTTGAATAAGGAGATCCTACGAGCAGCATCGGGTTCCCAGGCACTTGGTACAAGGTACGATACGTGCCTGGAAGTTTCAACATATGTATGGAATCGGTGACCAAGTTTTGTTCCGGTGACGCTTCGTATAAGAGCAGGATCTGCCCGATATTGTGCTGTTTCACAGTCTCATAGAGGACAAGGATTCTTAGCTTCTTGTATCCTTCGTAGATCAGAAGATCGATGATCTTGCGATGCACTTTGATCAACGTTCGCGCTGTATACATCTTCCCGCGTTCAAGACTCACGCAATAACAGTCGCCGGTTCTTTTCTCAGCTGCGATCAAGAATCTGGAGATAATGGAGATAATAATCGGCTAGTTTTGAGGGCTAGGAAGTTGAAGGACATCAACACGTCGACTGCCACGCTAGATCTACAGAATGTCCTCAGGCAGTTGTAAAATCTTTAACGACAAAATAATAAGAAATGTGCCCTCATTCGTGGTGCATTCACCCTTGATGCACTTAGTTACTCTTGATGAATTATTTTTGAATATTT